ATTAGCGCAGGGTACCACAACAATGTTAAATGTCATTAACTAGAGAATGAAAAAAAAAAAAAATACCAACAATTTGCCTAATGACCCTGGAAGGCCACGTAGAAATATATGTTGTTGTTATTTTTTTGATTCAGCCAATATCGATCGAAATACTCTTGACCCGATATGAATTGGTAGTCAACAAATAAATGTCTATAAATTACAAACCAAAAATGGAAATATAATTATACTGAGAGTTTTCTTTTTTTAATAAATTGTTGTTGTTGTTGTTATGATGGCATAGTTATTTATAACTACATGGGGGGGAACAGGGACTGGAATGAAGTCTTTGGAGGAGAAGAAAAAAATTTAATGTTTTGTGGGAGAAAGTGTGCACGACATTTCTGGGTCTTGCTTGTGAGGATCTGGGGTTGGGGTCTTCACCATTGGAGAGAGCAGATATTTAGGGTTAATAAACTTGGGAAAATTCAAGAACGGGAAAGAAAAACAAATGGAAAATGGAGGAGAAGGAAAAATATTTTTCCCAAAAGACCAAATTCTATGATTTTTTAAGTCATTTTTACCACGGAAAAATCGGACAAGAAACGGGGATATTTAAACGATTTTTTCCAAGAAATAGTCGAGTATATTTAAAGGAATTTGTTTAAAGGATGTTTTTCAAGTACCAATGAGCCAAAATCTTATTTTTTTTTTAATCTCGCCAAGCATTCATTTTGCCAAAAACCTTGGGTTTTTCACTGATTTTTTCCAAGGACTTGCCTGTAAGCCAAATTAGATTTTTAAAGGATTTTTTTTAACGACGAAACGTGGATTTTTAAATTATTTTTCAAAGGACCAAAAGTGGACCTTTTGAAGGAATTTTTCAAGGGACAAAATAGGGATTTTTTATAGGATATTTCCAATTACCCCAATAGCAAAAAATGTAATTTTTTAAAGAAGTTTTCAAAGGACCAAACGTGAATTTTTAAAGGATTTTTTCCAGGGACCGAATGAGGATTTTTATAGGAATTTTTCCAGTAACCCAAATTGCAAAAAAACGTGAATTTTTAAAGGAAATTTCCCAAGACTTATCGTGGATTTTTATAGGATTTTCTCCAATGATACAAAGACCAAAAACATGGATTTTTATTGGAATTTTTCTAAGGATCAAACAAGGATTTTTAATTTGAAGTATTCGAAGAATAAAAATTGGCCTTTTTTAAATTTTTAAGGAATTTTTCCAAGGACCAAACGAGATCTTTTCTTCCCACGATCAAAAGTGGACTTTTTAAGGCTTTATAAGGAAATTTTGAAAAGGCCAAACGAGGATTTTTAAAGGAAATTTCCAAGACCAAAAATTAATTTTTTTTAGAAAATTTTCCAAAGACCAAAAGAGGATTTTCAAAGGAATTTTTCCAAGAACCAAACGAGGTTCCAAGACCAAAAGCATGGATTTTTAAAGGAAATTTTCCCAGGGACTTGTCGATGATTTTTATAGGATTCTTTTCAATATTACAAAGACCAAAAGCATGGATTTTTATTGGAATTTTTCTAAGGATCAAATGAGGATTTTAATTGAAGTATTCGAAAAATAAAGAATTGACCATTTTTAATTTTTTAAGGAAATTTTCCAAAGACCAAATGAGGATTTTTAAAGAAAAAAATTTCCAACCGAGGACTTTTAAGGAATTTTTTTAAGGACAAAATGAGGTTTCTCAAAAGATTCTTTTCAAGGACTCACCGGTCAACTGACGTGGATTTTAAAAGGATTTTTTCCAGGGACAAAACAAGAACTTTAAAAAAAATTTCTAGAGATCAATCGAGAATTTCTTTCAAAGATTGACCGACCAACAAACGTGAATTTCTAAGGAAATTTTTCCATGGACCAAAAGAGCATTTTTAACGAAATTTTTGATTTAAGGAATTTTTTTTAGGGATCAAACGATTGATTTTTTCCAGAGATCAAACTAGAATTTCTTCCAGAGATCGACCGGCCAACAAAGGGGAATTTTTAAAGGAATTTTTCAAGGACTTCGCTTGTGACCTTTAGTAGATTTTTTCCAAGTACTAAATGCCAGCACACGTGGAATTCTAAAGGGAAATTTCTAAAGGATCATCAACTGAATTTTTCAAGGACAAAGATGGGTTAAAGGATAAAAAGCCTAATGATTTTTTTTTTGAAATGAGTTTTCTCAAGACCATAACATGGATATTTAAAATAATTTTTCCAAGAACCAAACGTGGACTTTTAAGGATTTATTTTCAAGGACTAAGTTTTAATGATTTTTCCAAAGAATTTATTGCCAGGGAACAATAAAAAAAATAAGGAGGATTTCTTAGGGATTTTCCGAGGGATTTCTAAAATAATTTTATTAGGGATTTTTAAAGGCATTTTCCAAGGTCTTAAAGATACCTCTTCCAATAGTGGATTTTTAACTGACTTATAGGTCATAAATTATCAATTTTTTACAGACTTTTTCCACGTGTGAAGGCCCAAAGAGAATTGTGTATTTTTCCTTTGACGAAATGTTGATTCAGGACGAAACGTGGAATTTTCGTTTTCAGGACGATAAGTGGACTTTTTAAGGACTCCTTTTCAGGACGAGAAGTGGACTTTTTAGGACTTTTTTCTAGAACAAAGCGGATTGATTTTATGGCCGCTACTTGAACTTTGTAAGAAGGTGTCTTAGGGACGAAATGTGAAAATTTTAAGGACTTGTCTTCAGGACGAGACCTAGACCTTTTAAGGACTCGTTTTCAGGACGAAATGTGGACTTTTTGAAGACTTATTTTCAGGATGAAACGTGGACTTTTTAGGTACTTCTTTTCTGGACGAAACGTGGACTTTTTAAGGACTTGTTTCAGGGCGAGAAGTGGACTTTTTAAAGACTGCTTTTCAGGACAAAAATTGGACTTTTTTCTAGGACTAAGCGGATCGGTTTTATGTGGAACTTTTAAGAGCTTGTTTCCAGGATGAAACCTAAATTTTCTTATGAAAACATTTGAAGAGCGAATTGTGGATCTTTTAAATACTTCTCTTTGGTGGATTCTTTCAGGATTTGTTGTCAGGACGTAACCTAGAAATCTAGGAGATTTCTTTGTACACCAATTTTTAGGACGAATCGTAAATTTTTAGGGAACTGATTTTGGGATGAAAACGGATATTTTAAGGACTTGTTTTTGTACCGAAACATGGATTTGTTTCAGAACTTATTTTCAGGATGAAACATGGATGTTTTAAGGACTCCTCTTCAGCCCGAGGGAATTATTTTCGGAACGATACGGGAAATTTTTAAGGACTGGTTTCCAGGACAAATATTGGGACTGGTTTCCAGAACGAATTTTGGAACTGGTTTCCTGGACGAATACTGGGTTGTTTATGCTTGTTTGTTTTGATTGTTTGTTTTGACGGCGAAACGTGGCCTTTTACGGAAATATGTGGTTTTAAGGACTAGTTTATAGAACGAAAATAGGACTTTTTAAAGACAGATTTAGAGGACGAAAAATAGATTTTTATGAATCATGGATATTTTAAGACTTATTTTCAGGATTAAACGTGGACATCCAAGATTTTTTTCAGGACGAAACTGATATCTTTCATTTTTTTACGGCAAACATTTATTGAGTTTTTTTGAGTTGTTTTAAGGACGAAACGATTTTTTAAGACATGCTTTCCAGTCAAAATTTGGACATTTTAAGGAAATGTTTTTAAGATGAAACTTAGATTTTTGAAGATCCTTTCAAGATGCTGTTTTAAGAACGAAGTATGGACCTTTTGCGGACGCTTTTCAATGGCTTAAAAAAAAAAAGAATAATATATCAAAAAGTTCACATTTTTAATGATTTGTTTTTCGGATGAAAGGATCAAGAGACAAAAGACCATTTTACTTTAGTGAATTCCTTGCAGGATTTTTAAGGTCTTTTTTCAAAAATCAAATGACCAACGAACCCAAAATAAATAACTTTTTAAGGACCTCTGCCTAACAAATCTGGACTTTGTCCCACGAATTTTTATAGAGGACACGGCCTTACGATTCTGGGATTTTTAAGATTTTTTTTGGATTATAAATTTTACATTTTTTTAATATTTCCGAGTACCAACAGCCTAAGTATGATTAATTTTTTTTAACCCAACAAATAGGTATTGAAGAGGTATGAAAGAAAAATATAATTTCGAAAACAAAAAGTATTATTGACGTTAGTCATACGCCCCAAAAGAACTTAGGATGTTGGTAATTATACGCCACCCTGTCCAATACATTGAAAATAATCATACGCCGCCTATTCTCTTTTTATGAATTTTAAAGCAATTTTAGGAGAATGAATCATTTTTACCAGTGATCGCAAATAATTTCACCTGCGGTATTTGCATATCTTCGTATTTAAAAAAATGTATTTAACATTTTTTTAAAATCTCCATACTTAAATTAAAAAAAAATAAATAAAATTGGAAAAATATTTTTTAATATTTTTCAACTCTCGCTAAGCTCTTTACCTAAATACCCCCTAATGCCTGGAAATGTGTACTAATTTTTTTTAAACTTTTCTAGCTTTCAAATTCATCTATATCGAATTTTTAATTTCAATAATTTTGCATACAAAAGCTTCCATAATACATATCTTAAATATTTAATAACTATGTGTCTACTAATATTAAATAATCCTATGGTTTGTAGTAATTACTTTTTTCCATAAATGTTATTAACAATTTGTTGTTTGTGTTTTTTTGTTTTGTTTTTAATTTCCCTCTAATTTCTATTAAATGTAAACCCAAAATAAAAAAAACGAAAATTCTCTGTTTCCCTAACTTATTCTAACAAAATTCTAAATCTCTTTACAAAATACAAAATCCAGAAACATAATAAGGCTCCTTTAAGTTTTTGGTTTTAATTACGTTCTGAAGTTTTTTGTTATGTTTTTAATTTTGATTTGTTATTAAAAACGTTTTTGAAGTATCCACATCTTATGCAAAAATTAATGTTCAATTTTTTTTCCTAAAAAAAACTTTAAAAACAATTTAGATACGATATGATGACGAGGACGAAGATGAAGGTCCACAGCCGGATCCCACACTTGAACAGGGTGTGCCTATACCTGTTCGAATGCAGGGCAGCTTCCCGCCGGAATTGGCCTCCACTCCTCTCGAGGATATCGATCCCTTCTACAGTAATGTACTGGTAAGTAGTAAATATTATATTTAAATTTCGAAAAAGAGAGGTGGTTTTTGAAAATAATACATTTAAAAAACCCAATGAAAAATGGCATTTATTTTTAATATTTATTGATTACTAAAGGATTTGGATTGTTTAAAAAAAAAAAAATAAAAATTAAAAAAAATATAATTTTTATTATTATTTTAATTTAATTTTTTGATTTATTTTAAAAATTGTAAAAAAATATATTTTAAAATATTAAAAATATTGAAAAAAATATAAAAAATATTATTTGGAAATATAAATAAATTGTTTAAAAATATAATAATTAAAAACAAGTCCCCTCCACCTCCAAATATCAAATGTGAAACAACTCCGGTGAATAATGCAGCTAAAATCATCAAAATACCGAATTTCGGGAGGTACCGTTATACGGGGGCTATACGAAGACGTGGACCTGCACAGATAATTTTCTGTCATATTCTGTAGTATCCATTAGGAACTTCAAATACCAAATTTAAAACAATTCCGGTGAATAATGCCGTTAAAATCATCAAAATATCGAATATCGGGAGGTAACGTTATATGGGGGCTATACGAAGACGTGGACCTGCACAGACAATTTTCTGTCTTAGGCTGTAGTATCCATTACGAACTTCATCTACCAAATTTAAAAGAATTCCGGTGAATGATGTCGCTAAAATCATCTAAATACCGAATATCGGGAGGTACCGTTATATGGGGGCTATACGAAGACGTGGACCTGCACAGACAATTTTCTGTCACAGGCTGAAGCCTCCATTACGAACTTCAAATACCAATTTTGAAACAATTCCAGTGAATAATGTCGCTAAAATCATCAAAATACCGAATATCGGGAGGTACTGTTATATGGGGGCTATACGAAGACGTGGACCTGCACAGACAATTTTCTGTCATAGACTCAATCATCCATTACGAGCTTCAAATACCAAATTTGAAACAATTCCGGTGAATAATGTCGCTAAAATCATCAAAATACCCAATATCGAGAGGTAACGTTATATGGGGGCTATACGAAGACCAGGACCTGCACAGACGATTTTCTGTCCTAGACTGTAGTATCCATTACGAACATCAAATACGAAATTTAAACTAATTCCGGTGAAAAATGTCTCTAAAATCATCAAAATACCGAATATCGGGAGGTACCGTTATATGGGAGCTATACGAAGACGTGGACCTGCACAGCTAATTTTCTGTCATAGGCTGAAGCATCCATTACGAACTTCAAATACCAAATTTGAAACAATTCCGATGAATAATGTCGCTAAAATCATCAAAATACCGAATATTGGGTGGTACCGTTATATGGGGGCTATACGAAGACGTGGACTTGCACAGACAATTTTCTGGTATATGCTAAAGCATACATTACGAGCTTCAAATACCAAAAAATTCCGGTGAATAATGTCGCTAAAATCATTAAAATATCGAATATCGGGAGGTAACGTTATATGGGGGCTATACGAAGATGTGGACCTGCACAGACAATTTTCTGTCATAGACTCAAGCATCTATTACGAATACCAAATACCAAATTTGAAACAATTCCGGTGAATAATGCCGCTTAAATCATCAAAATACCAAATATCGGAAGGTAGCGTTATATGGGGGCTATACGAAAACGTGGACCTGCACAGACAATTTTCTGTCATAGGCTGTAGCATCCATTACGAACATCATGTACCAAATTTGAAACAATTCCGGTGAATAATGTCGCTAAAATCATCAAAATACCGAATATCGGGAGGTACAGTTATATGGGGGCTATACCAAAACGTGGACCTACATGGCCCATTTTCAATACCAAAAGTTCTGCAGATATAATATACATTTGAGTAAACTTTTATCAATCTGCTTCATTTTGTTCGGAAGATAGAGTGATTTCCAAAGAAGGATAGACGGATGAAAAAATTAAAAAATAATAAAAAAATATGTCTAATATTTAAAAAAAAAAAATAAAAAAAAATATTATTTGTCAATATTTTAAATTTATTTTCAATATTTATTTATTATTAAAGAAGTGTATTTTTTTTTTTTTTTTGAAATGCCAAAGACAAAGATTTGAAATTTTTTTTATTTTACAATTCTTTAAATTAAATTTAAAAAAATATTTTGAAATTCGTTCAATTTTTTTTTTTTTTTTTTCGATTTTTAAATCGGGTAAACTTTTATCACTCTGCTTCAGTTCGTTCGGAAGATAAAGTGATTTTCACAGAAGGATAGACGGATTAAAAAATTAAAAAAATAAATAAAAAATATGTGTAATATTGTAAAAAAAAATAAAAAAATATTATTTATTTTTATTTACAATATTTTACATTTATTTTCAATATCTATTTATTATTAAAAGAGTGTAGTTTTTTTTGAAAAAAAAAATATTTTTTTTTTTTTTTTTTGAAATGCCAAAGACAAAGATTTGGAATTTTTTTTATTTTAAAATTTTTTCTTTGATTTAAAAATTATTAAAAGTGTATGCATTTTAAAATATTATAAAAAGTTAAAAAAATATAAAAATTAAAAATTTTTTTTTTTGAAATTTGTTCAATTTTTGTTTTGATTTTTTTCAATTTTTAATATTTATTTGTAATTCTCTTCCCTGTTTTGCCTATTTCTCTTTCCAGACATTTGTAGTAATAAGTAAAGGAAAGGATATTTTTCGTTTTTCTGCCTCAAAAGCAATGTGGCTGCTTGATCCATTCAATCCGATACGTCGTGTAGCCATTTATATTTTAGTGCATCCCTTGTTTTCGTTATTCATTATCACCACTATTCTAACTAATTGTATTTTAATGATAATGCCGACAACGCCCACGGTCGAATCCACAGAGTGAGTACCCAGAATCGAAATTTGAAACTTAGCTAATATGCGAATACACATAATTTCTTATTCAAAATGATTTTTAATTAAATTAAACAAAAAACTATAGTTCTTCCCTCCCCTCTTTATAAAGTTCATAACTAATATATTTGTTAGTTATATTGGTAGTTAAATGAATATATTTTTCCTTTTGGAGATTATTATTATTTTTTTTTTCAATATTTTTATTTTTAATTATTTTATTTAAAAAAATTTGAAAAAAAATATACTCAATTACTATTTTCTTGAAATATATTTTTTGGTATTTAGGTAATATTTTTTTATTTAAAAAAAATAATTATATATATTTGAAATAATTTTTTAACTACTGTATTTCTTGGTGTATTTTTTAATATATGAGAAGAAAAAAAACAAAACAAAAAATATACATTGAAAATATTTATTTATATAACAAAAACCATGTAAAACCTTCCTCCAAGAAAATAACAAACCAGAGTAATTTTCGAAAAAAATACAAACTTACAAAGGTAATACTCTCCTCAGAGGCCTCTCTGTGACATAAAGAGCGTTTCAGAATATCCAACAAAGGTAACCTCTCTTTTCCAAATCTTTTTTATAAACAAATGTAAATCTGAACAGCTTACCTAGTTGTCATTTGCTTTACCAAAAGAAACTAAATAGTTTTTCCTTAAAATAAAAATTCATTGTAATTTTTAAAAAGTCGTGTAAATTTCTTTCCATTCTTTCTCCTGCCAGAGAAATCATTCAGCTCAAACTTCATGTAAAATTTCAATTTTTTTAGAAAATTATTTAAAGTAAATAATTTAAAAATCACAATTCATTGCATTAACATTTTTTTGGACAAGACAAAAATACACACATTTCGGACGAAGAATTGAAGTTTCCGACGGACAGAGAGACGTTGTCTATTTTTTAAAATTATTTTTAGGGACAAGCAAAGATATTCGATTCTTTTAAACATTTTTCAATGAACCCACAAGGCTCGTAAAATTTTAAAAAATGTATTTTAAAAGAAAAGAATAAGTCGTAGAATTTTTTAAATATTTTTCAAGGACAAGCAAGGCTTGTGGATTTAAAAAAATTATTTTCTATTGCTGGTGGATTTTTTAAAAATATTTTCTATAATATATTTAAATATTTATTAGGATTCGTGGAATTTTAAAAATATTTTCTAGAGATCGTGTTTTTTTTTAAATATTTTCTAGGCCTTGTGAATTCTTTAAAAATATTTTCTAGGACTCGTTAATTTTTTTTCAAGGACAAGCAAGGCTCGTGGATTTTTTAAAGTATATGTTCTAGTGCTCGTAGACTTTTTAAAAATAGTTTCTAGGGCTCGCGGATTCTTTCAAAATATTTCCTAGGGTTCGTGTTTTTTTAACCTATTTTCTGGGGGTCGTGGTTTTTTAAAAATTATTTTCTCTCGCTGGTGGATTTTTTGAAACTATTTTCTAGGGTTCGTGGATTTTTTAAAAATATTTTCTAGGCCTTGTGGATTTTTTTTAATATTTTCTAGTCTTTGCGAATTTTTTAAAAATATTTTCTAGGACTCGTGGAATTTTTAAAAATATTTAGTAGAACTAGTGGACTTGGAAAAAGTGGAAAAAAAATTTTAGGGGATTTAAAAAAAAAAAAATTGGGCTCGTAGATTTTTTATTCTCTAGGGCTCGTGGATTTTTTAAAATTATTTTCTAGGCCTCGTGGATTTTTTTAAAATATTTCCTAAGGTTCCTGGATTTTTTAAAAATATTTTCTAGGCCTTGCGGACATTTTAAAAATATTTTTTAAGGGACGCTTAATGCTCTTAGATTTTTTAAAATATTTTCTAAGGTTCGTGGATTTTTTAAAATTATTTTGTAGGCCTCGTGGATTTTTTTTTTAAATATTTTCTAGGCCTTGTGGATTTTTTTTAAATATTTTTTAAAAGACAAGCTGCGGTCGAGGGTTTTTTAAAAATATTTTTTAGGACACTCATGATTCATGGATTTTTTAAAAAAATTTTTTTGAGGATACACAGGATTCGTGGTTTTTTTTAAAAATAATTTTTTAGGACACACAGGTTTCGTGGACTTTTAAAATATTTTTCAAAGGACACACAAGATTTGTGGATTTTTTAAAAATATTTTTTAAGGACACACAAGGCTTTTTGATTTTTGAAAACACTTTTTAAAGGACACACAAGGCTCTTGGATTTTTTTAAAAGTCACCTGCATTTGTGAAAATATTTTTTTTAAAGGACACAGAAGGCTTGCTGATTTTTGAAAATAATTTTAAGAGACACAAGTTTCGTGGATTTTTAAACTATTTTAAAAAGACACGAAAGTCTCTTTGATTTATTAAAATATTTTTTAAGGACATATATGGCTAATGTATTTTTTAAAAATTTTCGTGGATTTTTTAAAATATTTTTTTTAAGGATACACAAGGCTCCTGGATTTTTTATAAATATTTTTTATGGAACTCACAGTGCTCGTGGATTTTTGAAAATGCGTTTAAAGAACACAAGGTTCATGGATTTTAAAAATATTTTTTAAAGAAAACACAAGGCCTGCTGGATTTTTAAAAATTATTTTTTAAAGGACACACAGGGGTCCTGGATTTTTTAAAAATATTTTAAAGGACACACAATGATCTCGGATTTTTTAAAAATATTTTGTTAAGGACACACAAGGCTCTGGATTTTTAAAGGATACACATGGCTCGTGTTTTTTTTTTTTAATATTTTTTAAAGGACACGCAAGGCTCTTGGATTTTTTAAAATATTTTTTAAGGGACACACAGGGCTCCTGGATTTTTCAAAATAATTTTTAAATGATACACAAGGCTCTTGGATTTTTTAAAAATATTTTTAAGGGACACACAAGGGTTTTGGATTTTTTAGAATATTTACCAAAGGACGCACAGCTCGTGGATTTTTAGAAATATTATTTGAAGGGCCTTTTTATGGATTTTTAAGGAGATTATTATTTAAAAGACTTGCACATTCTCGTGGATTTTTTTTTTAATATTTTGAATGGACATGACCTAACAACCATCCCTACTTTGACACACAAAACGGACAGCCATTGGCATTACTTCCACTCACAAAAATTTCTGTGTAAAAAAACCTCATGTAAATGCAATGTAAAAAAATGTAACAGAGTATTAAGCAAAATAACTGCAACAACAACAAAAATAATAATAAATAAATTTACAATGGTTTGTTCTTCTTAGATGACATACTCTAGAGTACCAATATATACGTATACCTTATATATACTAGGAACTTTGTAAAATGTAATAAAATTTAGTAAAATATGTATTTACTGTAGAATAGCTAAACAGCAGAGTGGAGAGGGGTCAGGTGGTTCGTGGTTAGGATAGAGGAGTATAAGATATATATTTTGGGAAATGAACTCGCTGAGAAGACTGGCAAGGAGTATATGATGAATTTGAATTAGTGTAAGACAAATTTTTAAGGATTATAAGCTGAAATTCAAGGAGTATAAGACGATCTGAAAGGAGTATGAAGAGAGTATAAGAGTTTTAGAAGAGAAGAATTCGATGATTGCCAAGACTTTTTAGAAGTATAGAACAAGTTATATCATTTTTAAGAAATATAATACGATTGGTAAGAAGTATAAGATTTTATATAAGAGTACTCCTTCCTAATGCTTTTATATGAAGTCTTATAGTACTTTTATATGGAGACCTATACTTCCAAAGAGTATGAGACTAGTATCAAAAAATGTTAGTTGACCATTGGAAGACGATATAACACGATTTGTGATGAGTGGAAGAAAGCGTATAAGAGTATATGATGAGTATAAGAGTTTTAAAAGACCAATTCAGCGACTGATTAAATATTGATGAACTATAAAATGACTAATTTGAAGTATAAGGCAGTAGACATATTTATTAAGATTTATAATAATACGGGTGGTAAAAAGTATAAGACGTTATATAAGACTATTAGGAATTATAAAACGACCAGCAAGACCACTAAACAGTATGAGACTTAATTTGAAGGGTGATAGGTGGTTATTAGACAAGTATTAGAAGGTTTATATGGAGTATAAGAGTCCGTATAAGAATATGAGACAAGTACAAGAGTTTTAGATGACAAATTCCATAAATAATTAGGCTTTCAAAGGCTATAAAATAAAGAATAAGAAGTTGAAATGACGGATATAATTATTGAAAAATGTAATACGACAGGTATAAGGTATGAGACGTTGTATAAGAGTGCTGTGATGGACCGCTAAAGAGAATGTGACTTATTTACAGTATGTTAGGCGGAAAATACAGGATTATTATACGTTTTGTAATGAGTATAACAAAGTGTATAAGAGTTTGAGATCAATATACGAGTTTCATAACACGAATTAGGAGTTGGATTTTGCTCTCAAAGGACATAAAATAACTAATTTTAAATTTAAGACGGCCGGTATGTTTATAAATGAACATAATATGGCTGGTAAAAGAGTATGAGACGCTGTATAAGAGTACTTAAAAGCACCACTAAAGAGCATTAGATTTATATAAAGTGTATTAGGAGGCAACTAGATGAATATTAGACGTTTTCTGATGAGTATAAGAAAGTTTATAAAATATAAGAAAGTGTATAAGAGTTTTGAGATCAGTATAAAAGTTTCAGAAGACGAATTAGGTGTTGGATTTTGCTCTCAAAGGACATAAAATAACTAATTTGAAATATAAGACAGCCGGTATGCTTATAACGGAATATAAAATGGCTGGTAAAAAAAGAATGAGACGTTGTATAAGAGTACTAGTAAGCACAGCTAAAGAGCGTTAAATTTATATAAAGTGTATTAGGTGGCAACTAGATGAATATTAGACGTTTTCTGACAAGTATAAGAAAGTTTATAAAATATAAGAATGTGTATAAGAGTTTTGAGATCAGTATAAGAGTTTCAGAAGACGAATTAGGTGTGGGATTTTGCACTCAAAGGACATAAAATGACCAATTGGAAATATTAGACAGTCGGTAT